GAAAATTTTATTTCTGATGTTTCGTTCAATCAACATCATAATGGTTCTGACAGGGTCACATTTGAAGATTGACTCCAAAAATCTTCAAGTGATCGATAATAAAGTTAAATCGGATACAAGTGCATCACCGAAAGAACTAAAGCCTGCCAATCACGTTTCTTTATGGTTTGCTCTGTACTCTGGATCCAACATTTCACCACATTTCTTTGGGCCTCGAAAAATTCACAAGCCTAGCATTACTTCAAAACCCATAGTGAACTTCACAAACGCTCCCATATATGCAATATCTAAATAACTTGGGAGTATGTTGAAGCCACTTTAGAACAACCTAATTAATCCCTTAAAGAATTCATGTGAAGTTATATCAAAGATCTCGTGATTACCTGCCAGCAAGAATTGAACAACTCTAAGCTATAATGTTTTATCTTAGTACACTAGCATATGATATATGACTAGACTTCATCAATGGTTTGCTAGAGAATGACAGCATTTTAGGTCATGAAGCGTCAGAAATACAATTTCTACTCATTTGAATATCACAAAAGTATGTTTGTTGCTAAGATGTTTCTAAGTTTTACTATTTTATGCACCTAAGAAGACCTTGAATAGATGGGGGATTTTATCATTCGGTTTTCTGTCTAACCCACATAGTCTAATAGATCCAACCTGCCTAAGCCGCCAAACTTCACGTAAGGAAGATTTTTAAGGCTCAGATACACTAGGATCAGATGCTCGGAAAGCCGTATGTGACAACTTGGCAGAAACGGCTGAATTTTATGGGTCAGATATGCCGTGTGACGGTGTCTCAAGAGATTATGAAGGACTGACGGACTCGGCGCGGAGGTAGAGCTACATTTATTCAGTGATGTGTCAGATATTGGCACATAATAATTATCCGAAGCAATCAACATACTGTATTTTGTTTTGTAACACGTCTCTGACCAAACAGATCACTGTGTCGAGATCGGAGATTGCGGCGGCGGTATTAATTGTAAGGATGAGTGAAATTCTAAAAATGAGGATTTCCTGTTTTATTCTTTGAAGTGAATTTTTATGCACATTCAATGATAGTGTTATATTACACTAGGAATACTGATAGTTGGTTCAGTACCTATATAGCTGATCGCCTCACTTTTGTGCATCAATACATGGAAATTGGAAGATGATGTTACATGAGATGATCACAGACCTCAAGAGGTATGCAGAAAGTGATCGGCCTCAAATCTTGGTTTGAGTGGCCTGCCTTACTACATGAGGATTTTCCTGAAATGATAACTGACTGTCCGCAACCTACTGATAAACATTGAGTTTAGAAAACCAACCGGTGAGTAGCACTAAACATAGCAGTACCCCTATTCTTTCTCACTACTCTGACTGAATAAAAGCATTCAGCTCTGTAGCCTGGTTTAGGAGGTTCATCAAATTTTTAGTGGCTCTACGTTCATGGATTCATGAAAGATCTCTTCATCTAAAGTACTTAAAGGTCAATGAGTTTGGAGTTGTGAAGCGTAAATTTTTGGTGACGGTGGAGTTAGAAGCGTATGGAGAACAACTGATTGGATTCTTAAAAAATGGGAAAATAGGTAAACACAATGATCCGAAGAAATCGCTTACTTACTTACGCCTGTTACTCCTCGTGAAGGAGCATAGGCCGCTCACCAGCATTCTCCATCCAACCCTGTTATTGGCAATCCTTTCCAGCTCTTTCCAGTTCTTATTCATTCCTTTCATATCCGCTTTTATTTCCCGATATAATATGTTCTTTGACCTTCCTCTTTTCCGCTTTTCTTCAGGATTCCAAGTTAGCGCTTGTCTCGTAATGCAGTTTGATGATTTCCTCAATGTATGTCCTATCCATTTCCATCGTCTTTTCCTAATTTCCTCTTCAGCTGGAAGCTGGTTGGTTCTCTCCCACAAAAGGCTGTTGCTGATGGTATCCGGCCAATGGATGTTGAGCATCTTGCGTAGACAGCTATTGATAAATACTTGTACCTTCTTGATGGTGGTTGTTGTAATTCTCCAAGTTTCAGTTCCGTACAATAGAACTGCCTTGACGTTCGTATTGAAGATTGTGACTTTGATGTTGGTTGAAAGTTGTTTTGAGTTCCATTTGTTATTTAATTGAAGAAATGCTGTTCTTGCTTTACCAATCCTCGCCTTTACGTCTGAATCTGAACCTCCTTGTTCATCGATGATGCTTCCCAGGTATGTGAAGGATTCTACATCTTCCAGAGTTTCGCCATCAAGAGTGATTGGATTGCTGTTCTCCGTGTTGTATTTGAAGACCTTGGTTTTCTCCTTGTGTATGTTGAGGTCTACTGGTGCAGAGACTGCTGCTATGCTGGCTGTCTTTATCTGCATTTGTTCGTGTGTATGCGATAGGACGGCTAGGTCATCTGCAAAGTACAAATCGTCTAATTGGTTCTGAGCTGTCCCTTGTATGCCGTGTTTCCCCTCAGATGTCAAGGTCTTCATTATCCAATCGACCACCAGAAGAAAGAGGAAGGGAGAGAGTAGACAGCCTTGTCTTACTCCGGTCCTTACTCGGAATGCATCTGTCAGCTGTCCTGCATGCACTACTTTGCACTGTAGTCCATCGCATGAGTTCCTGATAATATTGACGATCTTCTCAGGAACTCCCTAGTGTCAAAGACGTTTTCCTATCTACACTGTCAAATGCCTTCTCATAATCAATGTTGATGTACAGTGACGAGTTCCACTCAATTGATTGTTCGATGATGATCCATAGTGTCGCAATCTGGTCTGTGCACGACCGATCCTTACGGAATCCAGCTTGTTGATCTCGAAGTTGAGTGTCTACTGAGTCTTTCATTCTGTTAAGTAACACTCTGTTGAAGACTGTACCTGGTATTGACAGTAGTGTAATGCCTCTGTACTTTTCACACTTGCTCAGATCTCCTTTCTTTGGAATCTTGATGAGGTGTCCTTCTTTCCAATCCATCGGCATTTGTTCCTCCTCCCAAATCTTCTTGAATAGAAGATGAAGCATGCTTGTAGTTACTTCGATGTCTGACTTCAACGCTTCAGCTAGTATATTGTCAGGTCCTGCTGCTTTCCCACTCTTGATTTGTCTGATGGCCATTCTGATTTCTTCGGTCGTTGGTGGATTGACATCTATAGGAAGATCTGTGTGTGCTGCTTCGATGTCCGGTGGATTCAATGGGGCCGGTCTATTCAGGAGTTCCTCGAAGTATTATAACCATCTACTCCGCTGTTGTTGAATTTCAGTGATTGACCTGCCTTCTTTGTCTTTGATCAGTCTCTCTGGTTTACTATATTTCCGTGCTAGTTTCTTCGTTGTATCGTTAAGCTGTTTCATATTTCCTTCTCTTGCAGCTTTTTCCGCCGTCGTTGCTAGTTCGTCCACGTATTTCTGTTTGTCGGCTCTACTGCTCTTCTTCACTCGCTTGTTTGCTTCTATGTGCTCAGCTTGTGCTCTGACTTTCTCTGCTCGTGATCGGCTGTTGTTTTATTGCTGTCTTCTTGTTCTTCCTTTCTTTGATCCTGTCCAGTGTTTCTATAGAGATCCATTCCCTGTGATGATGCTTCTTGAGGCCCAGAACCTCTTGACACATTGAAGTTAATGCTTCATTGATACCTTTCCAGTTATCCTTCATAGTGGTTTATTCTTCCTTCAGTAAATCCTGTAAGGCTTGGAACCTGTTGTTGAGAGCTATGTTGAATTCATTAAGTTTGTCGGTATCTCGAAGGAAGGCTGTATTGAACCTTTGCAGCGCTGTTTTTCAAGTTGTCCAGTTCTTCTTTAGCTTCAGTTCTAAATTGGCCACAACCAGGTGATGATCTGAAGCTATGTCCGCTCCTCTCCTGGTTCTCACATCCTCCATTGTCCTTCGGAACTTTTTATTGATGCAAATATGATCTATCTGATTCTCTGTGGAGTGGTACGGTGAGATCCATGTAGCTTTGTGTATACGTTTGTGTGGAAATGTTGTACCGCCTATGACCAATCTATTGAATGCACACAGATTTACAAATTTTTCCCCGTTTTCGTTCCTCTCTCCCAGTCCATATAGTCCCATGATGTCTTCATATCCGGTGTTGTCCATTCCGACTTTGGCGTTTAGATCTCCCATCAGAATGGTGAGGTCCTTTCTTGGGCACTTCTCTATGATTGATTGCAGCCTCTCATAGAATTGATCCTTAACGTCGTCGTTGCTATCATTGGTGGGTGCATAACATTGGATAATGTTCATTGTGATCCCCTCCTTCTTTGTTTTGAATGATGCTTTGATGATTCTGGTTCCGTGAGATTCCCATCCCACAAGTGCATTTTGTGCTACTTTGGACAGCATTAGAGCAACTCCCTGAGTGTGTGGAGCATTTTGCTCTTCGTGACCGGAGTATAGCAGCATCTCTCCCGTATTTAGCCTTTGTTGTCCAGCTTGAGTCCAATGGGTTTCGCTGATTCTCAGTACTGTCTAGTTGTATCTCCTCATTTCCGTTGCTATTTGACTGTTCTTCCCGGTCTCCCACATTGTCCGGACGTTCCACGTACCTATAAAAATTGTTGCTCTGGTTGTCAGAAGAGGCATCGGCCTCATGGCTTCCGAAGGAACTCGGCTTTCACCATGAGGCGTCATATTTCTTCTAAATGAAGACCGTCTGAATCCCAGAACAGAGTTTAGATGGTTTGAGTTATTTTTTCTGATTAGCGTTTTTTTTGGCGAGTTAGTTGTCTACGGGTTAGGGAAGCTAGCCCATGCCTAACCCTCCTCCCTTACCCGGGATTGGGACCGACAGTAACTCTAGGAGAGCTACAGGCGGAGTTGATCTGAAGGGATGTTTGCTGATAATAGTAGATGTTTCACTCCATTCTGTACGTCCTTTGACTTACTCAGATTTCCAAAGTTATCTTATATGTCATCTTATTGTCCTCCGTTGAGAAAGGGGGGACTAATATAGGCTCTTGCTCTACATAAGCTGAAGATGTCCAATAAACTTGCTACTATAACAACCTTATGGCGGAAATACCACGTGAGGTGCTACGTTGGCTTCTAACACTTGATATTAATCTGGAACATAGAAACCTAAAATGGTTAGCATCAAATACATTAACCATAAACCAACGAATAGGTGTGTTTCCAACGGTATTCTAGTGGCTGAAATTTTGCACAATTATCAACCAAAAACAGTGAATCTTGGAAAATTTATTGATGGACAGAGTATAAAAGTCAAGCTACATAACTGGAACATGATTCAAGAGGTTTTTCAATAAATAGTTTTTCAGTTACTTTAGGTACTACAACGTTCGTGCATCTATTTGCCACCAGATATCATTGAATCTGCCGCCCATAACAAAAGAAATGCAGGAATTATTCTTTTGACCACTCTTCATGAAATATTTTCAAAAAAGAAGTACGATATCTATATTTCAGTTACGAAACTTTAGAGTGAGAGAAGGCTTAGCAAACTTCGACCCCACAGATCTGGAATACCAATTTTCCTTACCATTCTATGCTAGATCATGTCTAGCAAAGTTCATTAAAGATAACCTAACCACTTCAGAAATGGAGACTACACCAGATTTATTTACTAATCAAAAAAAGGTAGAATGCATGCGCACATCCACATGAATCATTTTCATAGGTTCAGCTGTTAGCTCTGGCTTACAAGAATATGAAAATTACTGAGAGAATTGAAGAACCATGGAGATTTAGAGTATCACGATCATTAGCGTCACAATGTCGACGTTCCGAACCGTCAAAATCAAGCAAAGAGCCACGTCTTGAAGGAACAGGCACTATGATATGCAGTGAAACAATTGATGGTAGGTGTCGTTTCCGCGTTGTTTCTCATGCTAGTTTGAGAAATGTAGACACTGATCTTTTTTGACGTTTACTTCTTGAAAGACCTTGATGGTGATGAAGTGCTTACTGAGGGGTCGAATTAATCCCACATTGAAACATAAAATAAAAACCCAAATCGATGTTTCGCTAAATGAATAACGGGTAACAGAACAAACACGATCCACTTTGTTACCAACTAGTGCTCTTGATTCTATTATTTCTACACACAGCAGCACCAACGACTTTGTATGGTTGAACAATTAATTAAAGTAAATAAAATTATTTTGACGAAAAATTTCCGTCTACATTTAGGTCTCCTCTGACGTTGTCTTAGTTTAGTAAGAAAACTTGTACCTGAGTTCCTGCCATATTTTATGAACTGATATAAATTATGTATATTTCCCATCTAAGTTACTAAACTTCTTACCTATTTGATTACGGATTGTCGTTAGATAACTCAGAACAGTGGACCGGAATTCGGAATAGATATGAACAGTCATCTAGCGGCTAAATGACTTTAAACTCTAACCGGATTAAATAAATTTACACCTGGTGGATTAGTTACACTAGCAGTGAGCTAGCTATTTAAGTCATAATTTAAACATAATTCAGTGTTGTTTGGGGTAAGACAAATATTGTCAACATTCGTTAGATCACAAACTAACGAAATCTGAATCATCAAATTATGGCTGAGCTGTGCTCATTCCAAGGCCGAAAGATGCTGTGTGACCACTAGCATCACCGTAGGTATGCACCGTTAGGGGATCACAAATTGTTGGTTCCAAACTTATTTCAGTTCATCATATTACATAACTCCAAACTGAAGTTCCCAATAGCCTTTTGCCGTACTCATTGTGACCTATTTTATTGAGGCGAAACGGATAGTCATAATAAAAACTATTTAACCTGAAACATGCGACTAAATGTTTTACGTGAAAAAGCACAAAAGATACGGATCCATGTAGCTCCCAAGAGATAAGAGATCATAGAGCTGATTATGAGAAAACATAACCGTAATTATTCTACCCCGTTTAATCGATGCTTTTGAAGGAAAAAAACTACGTGATTTTCACAGATAAATGAAACTAATCAGGTGGTTTGTATGGTCAAATAGCTACAAAATATGCCTTATATAAACAACGTACAACGCCAAATTCTAAATGTTACTCAGCAATTACCATCAGACTCTTTTGAAGCTGTGATCATTTTAAACTAGAAACCGTATAAAAATGAGATTAAACTAAATCTGTTAGTGTAATCTCAGAAAAATAAACGTTATTAGAAACGAACATTCTGAAGTACAAAGATCGATACGAATGAACAGCAGAAGGATCTTTCGATGAGACAATCTGAGATAAATAATAAATGACAGTCCTAATAAATTGTTTAGAAGTGCTTCAAGAAAGACATTATCATATGCCTTCATGAAATCTTGAGTCTTTGCAAACACGGGATTGCTTCCTTTTAGTATTCATCACTTCACAACAAACATTACAGACAGGGTCATATTTCACCTTATAAAACATGGCATCAGACCAAGTTTTCAAAAAAGATATTACATAAACTGGCAAAATACCAAGTGGGGACAAATCGAATACAGGATGCTTGAAAGATCAACATGAGGAAATAGGTGTACCAGACTCCCACTTATTTATTTGTAACTTGAGTATCAGCCACATGATATTTTCCAGACCTTAAAACTGGTTGGGTTGGAAGAGTTTAGTAGCAATTAAATGCTAAAATTCGATCGCGATTACTCGGTGCTAAGATGAATTGTTTACTCTCTATCCCTTTTTAGAAACACCATTCAACGATAACGTAATAACAATCCAGCCAAAGCAACAAGCTTTATAAGTAAATCTGCAATGACAAACCCGTAAATCATATTGTTATATTTATTTGTCATAAACCTCACTGACTTTTATTTCTATCAACGCTATAAATATTTCTTAGATTTTACTGTCTTATTCCTCATACCATCTAGAACGAAATTCGGGCATGTGTAAGCTAAAGCTTCGGAACTTTTGATAGCACAAGATTGGAGAAATGAAATATGTCTAGTGCTCGTTTATGATAATTCAGGTTTGCAAGACTGTAATGGCTTTACTTCGTTGATCGATCACCTCGATAACCGTGATAAGATAAACCTGAATGCTATTTGAAATCAGAAGGCAAAGAGAAGCATCAACTAGCTTATTTTCAGATAGCGCAGATCACAAAAATATAAGCAAATCGAGTGAATTTGAAGCCGAGAGGCGAATAAGTATATGCGACCAATTACACAGGTAAATTTGTAGTCAAATTGTATACGGGCGCAGAAAAATCCAATAATATGATTTGAGTACATATATACATGGGGAGAAGGATGAATCATCGAGCGATATTCAAGCAATTAACATTTTAGATAGTGTCATGTGACCAAGAAATACATGAATTGTTACTGTTCAAATTACATTGTCTGTTAAGTAAGTTAATAAACGGGCTTGGCCAAAATTAACCATAATCGAAATTGGTTGCAAGATAGTTGCTATAATACCTCCGAACCGTGATAAGGGCTACTTACATGTGGCCCCTATAAGGCCGTACGTTAGACTAACGTTTATTTATATACCTGGTATTCGCAGCACTCAGCGTATAGTAGTCGCCATAGTATCTAAATACTTTAGTCGAAAAACGCATTCCATTGGACACCCAAAATAAGCGACCACAAGTATATAAACGTCAAGTACTGGAACATAGCAATGATCAGTTATTATTTTTTTTAATCATTAACTCCGTCGCAATATCTATTACTTTCTAACACGTTTTCCCCGAAAATTCGCCCAGGAAATCACTGAATTTATGCTTCCGAAATGAATACATTAGACAAAACCAAGACTTAGGACAGAGCTTTCGAATTCATCCATTCAGAACTTAAAGATGCAGATGACAAACAAATCGACAGCACACAGCAATTACATAACCAACCAGTAACAGCCCGAACAATTGTTCAAGAACGATATAACTGAAGTACTAAGGTAACTATAACCGGCTCTAGAGAATCGGAACTTAAAATATCAAAAGGACACCTCGAAATATAGTTACGTGTAGCCTACGTCTGCTGACAATTTATCTTAATCATGATGTGCGACGGGCCACAGTCTGAGGTAGGAAATCCAAGAACTTTCACATCAGGCTTAACGTGCCCTGAAATATAATCATATGTGACCAGTGACTGCTTAATGATTTAAGTATACTCTAGCACACAAGTTTTTGGCGATCATTTAGTGTGATTACTTTGGTTGAAACGATGACTCAGTCGACTACGTAGAAATACATTTATCTAAATAAGTCGACACGTGGCGACTCACAAATGTACTCGTTGGACTAACAGAATAATCACATTAGCTATGATAAACAAGTCACCAAGCAGTATCTAACAACTGAACGTTCAGACCATCAGTCGTCCGGAAGCAATTTTGAGTACCGGCTTCTATATCAAACTAGAAATCTAAGGATGAAAAAAAAGTAGTCAGTTTACAACGTTAAGACTGGAACATAGTCATTGCAACCATATATGTTAAAATGAGAAGTACTGCGCTTAGGGTGAGAATCTAAACGATTGATGAAAATCCAACATATAAGACTTGAGATTTAGATTATAAGAAACGAATCCGAGACCGCCAGAGGTCAGATTGGCGTCGGAAAGTACCACTGCACATAGTTAAATTTGAACTCCGCAGACCATCTATCCCATACACGGCAACAAATGGGGCCAGAACAGTAGGAGTGGACCTCAATACTCAGAAAGAAAAAATTAAGACCCTAAATTACAACAGAGAGGATCAGGTAAATCACACTTGATTAAGGAGCCCCAAAATGGGTGGGAACCTCCACTTACTCTGGTAGTATCACCAATAAACAAGGAGGCTCGACCTGAATGTGAAGGCATGGATTGGAAAAGTGAGAGAACTATCTCTACAATTAAAAAAAATGAGGCTTATAAAAACTGTCGGCCAGCACATCAAAATTCTTTATACAGACGTCGAAACAGTCTCACTATAAGACGCTAAGAACCAATGCAACCATCATCGAAACGGTTAATGTATTTATAAACACTGGTCTACGCAATATACTACAGATCTATTGGCCAAACACCATAAACAATAACCTGCTGTATCAGAGAATGAAACAGACCCCAGCGGAGGAACTTGGATGGAGGTGCGTATGTTACACTTTAAGAAAATCATAAAACCGGATTACTAGGCAAATCTCAACTTCGAATCCTGAAGGTAAAGTGGAGACGGACCGAAGGCAGCGCATAGAGAATCGGTATAGCACTCAGCCTTTAGTAATAAGGATAGGAGGTCTATCGACCTATATTAATCCTTGCAGTTTGTAATACTGTGGAAGTCCAATCTCGTTTTGAATGTATCAACAGAAGGTGCTGATATGACGTGTTCCGGTAGAGAATCCCAGTAATTCACTACTCGGTGCGAGAAACGAAACTCCAGACGTAAACGATTTGATCTCGGTTTTTGAAATTTTTTCGAATGTCCTCTTAAATGATCAGTCCTAGACGGAAGTAAAAGATAAGACATGTCAATACCAAAGTCATCGTTCAGCATACGATAACCCAATATTAGATCACCCCGCATTCTACGGAAATAAGTTGAGGTGTCTCAGTCTGTCTTCATAAGATAGGCCAGATAGACCATGTACCATCTTAGTACCTCGTCGTTGGACTCTTCCCAGCATATCTGCTTCATACTTGAAACAAGGACTCGCTGCTTGAATCCCATATTCTAAATGTGGTCGCACGTATGTCGGGTATAATAATCTAAACATTTCATCATCTAAATACTGGAAAGACCTACGAATAGACCATAATACCCTATAGCCTTTCGCAGCAGCAGCCTTACAGTGACTAGGGGTTTTGAGATCCCTACTTAATATGACTCCCAAATCTTTATAGTTTCTTACTTTGAGTAGTACGAATCCACATATTGTATAGTGATACGATTCATCATTGTTATTTATTTGTATCACCACACTTATTAGGATTTACTTCAAGTGACCACCTGTCTAACCATGCCACAAATGAGCTAAGATCATTCTGTAATACTATCCTATCCGACATACTGTGTATGGGTCTCCAAATTTTTATGTCATCTGCGAAGAGTAGAACGGATTATTTTGCTACGGTTGGTAATTCATTTAAAAAGAAAAGAGGACCGAGGATTGTACCTTGGGGAGCTCCACTTTTCACAGGTACC